TAGAATAGTTTTTGTTGTTAAATCGCGTCAATAAATGGAACCACTCAAAATGTGAATCGATTAAATAGACATATAATTCTAAGTTCACTTGGTACTGTTTGCTTGAATATCCCCATTCATGTTTAGGACTGTAATTAGAAGATTCAAATTAACAATAACAACTGAATTTAAACTTGACCCCATTGCAAGCAAGTAGCTATAAGGACTCAGTAGCTAAGTGGATAACATGATGGCGTTTGAAACGAACGGCACTGGGTTCGAGTCCCGGGATGAACATCGACGCTGAGATGCAGGTGCATCCAGCTGACGAGTTCCAAATAGGACGAAATGCCAGCCACCATCCATATTTGCTTATAAAACATAACTCTAGTTTGGAATTCCTTATTAGTTACTAAACTAGAGATGTTAACATTCTATAGCGAATATAGTTTTATAAGACTAATCGGTTGGGATTTCGTCTGTTGTTAGAAACGATTAAACACAGTCCGACTTAGAGGTTAAGCAGTTAAAAATATTTTAAACTTTCTTTTGAAAAATAAATTCTCAGTTGAAATATTCAAACGTCTTATTTCAATATTACGACCACATACGTTTATTTAACGTCACACTATGAACGCAAAACATATCCTACATTGGTACAGGTTTGTTTAAAAATTGATTTAAATAGTTAAATCAATTTGTGATTTCCATAAAGTCCAACCACCTTCACAACCACATACTGAGGATTATTATGTGATCACTAGTGACTAGTTTCACGAGGAAATTCCCACAGCTTTAGTGAGAATCTGTGACCAGTGGAGTTCGACAGTGTCAGGTGTCGGACAGTTACCCACTAAAGACAATGGCAGATGGTCTTACAATGTCGTTGATTGGTTGACGTCAGACATTAGCACCTTTGGATGTTGACTCAGTAGTCTAGAATCTAAATGTTCAACGTCAGCATGCGGGACCATGAATGCTCACTTCTGTGGAGTCTCAAAATCGGACGTAATTACCAGTGGTTCATGGTTTTCAGTGGTGGTTTAACATTATTCAGTTTATGATTTCAATGAAATTCAACAATCTTCACTAACCCAAACCGAAAATTAACTGATATATATTGTATAGGTCATGGTGACAATTGGATTTGATCAATCAAGCTACATTTTCGTCAGCAGTTTTCAAGATTTGATATCTTAATATATTATATATTTAGTGTTATTCTGAGCGTCATATTATTCCACATCCATTATACTGATATAATAAGTCAAATGATTAATAAAATCTTATTCTAGTAAATCTGTATCTTCAAAGACAATTTTAAATGGTTCTCGAACTAAGTTCATAACTGAAATATTAATAACTCTCTTTAACTACAGGTATTTTCTTTTAATCAAGCGACAAATTATGTTTTCTGACAAGAGAAAAAAAACAAAAATTAGTGAAAGCGGCTGTCATATTTGTCTTTTTAAATATATAACTCATGTATTTGGTTTAGCCATTTATGAATTTAAATTAATGCACAACTTACGCCTGTTACTCTTCGTGGGGAACATATGCCGATCACCAGCCTTCGCCATACAACACTGTACTGGTCACTCCTTTCCAGCTCCTTCCAGTTCTTATTCATTCCTTTCATATCTGATTCTATTATCCGACGTAATGTCTTCTTTGGCATTCCTCCCTTCCGTTTTCCTTCAGGATTACATGTTAGGGCCTGCCTCGTGATTCAGATTGATGATTTGTGTAATGTATGTCCTATCAATTTCCATCGTCTTTTCCTAATTTCTCTTTATCTGGAGGCTGGTTTATTCTCTCCCACAGAAGGCTGTTGCTGATGGTATTCGGCCAATGGATGTTGAGCATCTTGCGTAGACAACTATTTATAAATACTTGTACATTCTTGATGGTGTTTGTTGTAGTTCTCTAAGTTTCAGCTCCGTACATACAGTATAACTGACTGTCTTAACGTTCATATTGAAGATTCTCACTTTGATATTGGTTGAAAGTTGTTTTGAGTTCCATATGTTCTTCAACGGTAAGAATGCGGCCCTCGCTTTGTCAATCCTCGACTTTACGTCTGCATCTGAACCTTCTTGTTCATCGATGATGCTTCCTAGGTATGTGAAGGATTCTACCTCTTCCAGAGTTTCGCCATCAAGAGTGATTGGATTGCTGTTCTCCGTGTTGCAATTCAGGACCTTGGTTTCTTCCTTGTGTATGATGAGGTCTATTGATGCAGAGACTGGTGCTACACTAGCTGTCTTTATTTGCATTTGTTCGTGTGTATGCGATAGGAGAGCTAGGTCATCTGCGAAGTCCAAATCGTTTAATTTGTATTGAGCTGTCCATTGTATGCCGTGTTTTCCTTCAGATTTCGAGGTCCTCATAATCCAGTCGACCACCAGAAGAAAGAGGAAGGGAGAGAGTAAACAGCCTTGTCTAACTCCGGTTCTGACTTGAAATTCATCTGTCAGCTGTCCTCCATGCACGACTTTGCATTGTAGTCCGTCGTATGAGTTCCGGATAATGTTGACAATCTTCCCAGGAACTCCGTAGTGTCGTAGAAGTTTCAATAACGTCCTCCTATCCATACTGTCAAATGCCTTTTCATAATCAATGAAGTTGATGTATAGTGACGAGTTCCTCTCAACTGATTCTTCGACGATGATCCGTAGTGTTGCAGTTTGGTCTGTGCATGATCGATCCTTACTGAATCCAGCTTGTTGATCTCGAATTTGGGCGTCTATTGCGTCTTTCATATGGTTCAGCAACACTCTGTTAAAAACTTTCCCTGGTACTGATAGTGGTGTAGTGCCTCTGTAGTTTTCACATTTGCTCGGATCTCCTTTCTTTGGAATCTTGATGAGGTGCCCTTCTTTCCAGTCCATCGACACTTGTTTCTCCTCCCAAATACCTTTGGATAGAAAGTGAAGCATGTTTGTAGTTAGTTCGATGTCTGACTTCAGTGCTTCAGATGGTATATTGTCGGGTCCTACTACTTTCCCTCTCTTCATTTATCTGATGGCCATTCTTATTTCTTCCGTCGTTGTTGGGTTGACATCTATAGGAAGATCTGTGTGTACTGCTTCGATGTCCGTTGGATTCATTGGAGCCGGCCTATTCATGAGTTCCTCGAACTACTCTACCCATCTGTTCCGCTGTTGTTGAATTTCAGTGATTGGTCTGCCATCTTTATTCTTGACTGGTATCTCTGGTTTACTGTATTTCTCTGCTAGTTTCCTCGTTGTATCGTAAAGTTATTTTATATTTCCTTCTCATTCTGCTTTTTCTGCCATTGTTGCCCGTTCTTCCACGTATTTCTGCTTGTCGGCTCCAATGCTCATCTTCACTTGCCTGTTTGCTTATATGTACTCAGCCTGTACTTGGATTTTCTCTGTTCGTGTTTGGATGTTGTTCACTGCTATCTTCTTGTTCTCCCTTTCTTTCATCCTGTCCACTGTTTCTATAGACATCCATTACTTATGATGATGATGCTTCCTGAGGCCCAAAACCTCTTGACACGTTGAAGGTAGTGCTTCTCTGATACCTTTCCAGTTGTCCTCCATAGTAGTTTCTTCTTCCTTCAGTAGATCCTGTATGTCTTGGAACCTGTTGTTGAGAGCTATCTTGAATTCCTTGCGTTTGTCAGTACCTCGAACGAAGGCTGTATTGAACGTTTGTAGTGCTGTTTGTCCAGTTGTCCAGTTGTCCAGTTCTTCTTTAGCTACGGTTTTAAATTGGCCACAAATAGGTTGTGTGGTGATCTGAAGCTATGTCAGATACTCCCCTACTTCTCACATCTTCCATTGTCCTTCGGATTTTTCTTATTGATGCAGATATGGTCTATCTGCTTCTGTGCGGTGTGGTCCGGTGAGATCCATGTAGCTTTGTGTATACGTTTGTGTGGAAATATTGTGCCACCTATGACCAATTTGTTGAATGCACATAGATTTGCAAATCTCTCTCCATTTTCGTTTCTTAATTCCAGTCAATCCATGTCGTCCCATGATATCTTCATATCCGGCGTTGTCTATTCCGACTCTGGAGTTTAGATCTCCAGTCAGAATGGTGAGGTTCTTTCTTGGACACTTCACTATGATTGATTGCAACCTATCGTAGAACTGATCTTTGATGTCGTCATCACTATCATTGGTGGGTGCATAACATTGGATAATATTCATTGTGATCCCCTCCTTCTTTGTTTCGAATGATGCTTTGATGATTCTGGATCCGTGAGATTCCCATCGTACAAGTGCATTTCGTGCTGCATTGGACAGCATTAAAGCAACTCCCTGAGTGTGTGGAGCATTGTCCTCTACGTGACCGGAGTATAGCAGCATCTCTCCCGTAGCTAGCCTTTTCTGTCCAGCTTGGGTCCAATGGGTTTCGCTGATTCTCAGTACTGCTAAGTTTTATCTCCTCATTTCCGTTGCTGTTTGACTGGTCTTCCCGGTCTCCCAGATTGTCCAGACGTTCCATGTACCTATAAAAATTGTTGCTCTGGTTGTTAGAAATTTGTTAGAATGGGAATCGGCCTCGTGGCTTCCGAATGAACTGGGCTTTCACCATGAAGCGTCATAATTCTTCTAACTGATGACCTTGTGACTCTCAGTGAAATGTTTAAATGGTTTGAATTATTTTTTCTGGTAAGCGATTTTTTAGCGAGTTATTTTTCTACGGGGTGGGATCGCTAACCCCATGCCCAACCCTCCTCCTTTATCCAGGTTTGGGACCTCAGTAACTCTATAAGAGCTGCAGGCTGAGTTAATTAATGCATCAATAGACTTTCATTTAAGGTTTTACGAGTAATATTTCAAAAATTTTTAAAACGGAAATGGATATTTTCTACATGTTTACATTGAATACATGACAGTCACTATGGTAACTCTACCGCAGTCAATGTATATGTTTGTTTAAATATATTCTCTTTATAATTAAAAGAAAGGCTCAAATAAAAACATTATGAATTGATTTATTGAGTTATTCGTTGATTTGATTCGATCATAGGTTATGTGTTTATGAAGACTCTTAACGACGAGAAAGGAACTTTATATAATAATAATAATAATAATAATAATAATAATAATAATAATAATAATAATAATAATAATAATAATAATAATAATTGCGTATTTATAAATTTGACAAATAAGGGGAATGTTTATTTTTCACAAGATTTACGTAGTTTAATGTGTGTTATTCACATGTTAAGACTAAAAAAAGTATCATCCTATGATCATGAAACTAATTTCAGTTGAAAATTTACTTGATGCGCATATACTTTGTATAACAGTTTTCTTTTTTTACAGCCATTGATCAGTAATATACATTTCTTAAGAGTTCCATACTGAGATAAAACATGACATTAGTTAAGAGTGAATGTATGTATTGTGAGAAATAATAAAGTACTCAAATAATACATTATATATAACTTTCGATCTTCAATTCATATCGTTTAGTGTGTTCTATCAATATCATGTTTTCAATGCATTGAAACATTTCACTTCGTCTGATCACTGTAAAACCCTCAATGCTACATTCCATTACATACTACTTACAAACAATCTTGTGAGTAATGTCTACTATCTTAGGATGAAACAGGTATCTAATATTTCCTAGTCCTAGATATAAATTCTTTCAAATCAATGAATCACTACAAACAATTCATTATTCTAAACTATGTATGTAAATAAATGAAGTGATGTCATGGAAACGATTAGATCGAATATATTAAATAACCTTAACATAGTATTGTTCACAGTGAAGAAAGTGCGTTATTTGATCATTTGAAAATTTCGAAAAGAAGAAGAAAAAACATTTGAACATTTCTTTTTTTTCTAATTTGAATTTGAAGTAATTTAATCTGTTTTTGTCAGTTTACTTTATTTTCATTATACAGGTCAGTATTATTTCATTGGTATTGATAATAACAATAATCATCAATACCGATTCGTTACTGATTAGCACAACATTTAGATTTAGATTTTAATTGTTTAACAATGTTAGTTTCAATGAATTAAATAGTTTACTTACTTACTTACGCTTGTTGCTCCTAATGGAGCATAGGCTGACAACCAGCATTCTCCAACACACTCTGTCCTGGGCTTTCCTTTCCAGTTCTATCCAATTCTTGTTCATTTTTCTCATATCTGTCTCCATTTCTCGACGTAATGTGTTCTTTAGTTTTTCTCTTTTCCTTTGGCTTTGAAGATTCCATGTGATGGCTTGTCTTGTAACACAGTTGGGTGATTTCCTCAATGTGTATCCCATCCACTTCCAGCGCTTCTTCCTGATTTATTCCTCCGCTGGGTTCTGGTTTGTTTTCTCTCACAATTGGTTGTTGCTAATAGTGTCCGACCAACGTATCTGAAGTATTTTGCGTAGACAACTGTTAATAAACACCTGTATCTTCTGGATGATGACTTTCGTAGTTCTCCAAGTTTCTGCCCCATACAGTAGAACTGTCTTGACATTTGTATGAAATTTAGATCCTGATCATTTCCGTAATGTTCAGACTTATTTAATCAATCAGTCATTCAATATAATAACATTTTTATTGAGTGAAACAATAATAGAACTAAAGTCAAGCAGTTATAAGCTTTAAATTCTAACATTCAAGATGATACTAAAGTTATGTCACAAGCTTTTAACGAGAGATGAATAATGGCTAGCAGTGGAATCCAAGATGCGCGTTTCGTTCTATTTGGTACTCGTCATATAGATGTACCTGCATCTCAAAGTTGATGTTCACTCTGGGACTCGAACCCAGTACCGTCTGCTTCAAACGCCATTATATGTTTATTAAACGTTTGATTATCGCATAAGTATAGCTTGCATTAATCAGAATGTTGTTCAACATTTCTGGAATAGATTGATCTTTGTAATATATTATTTACCAACGTTCTTCATCATCAGCACAAACTTCAGGTAGATGTGAAGTATTCGAATTTCTCCACATGTGGTTTACCAATTTAGATACACAGTTATTTATAGAAAAACAAAATTACCCATAACTAATGAAAACATCATATCTGCAGATTAATAACGAACTGTTAATTAAAAGAAAATACTTGTTGTTTACTGACTGATATTTTCTTTCGGTTGAAATTCAAACTAAACATTGAAATAGCTGTCATATTCACCAGATAAAAAACCAGATAAAAATTTCGGATGGTTTGATTAACACTTACCTTATAATCTACATTAGGTAATTGTGTTATACTTAATGATGATATATATGATGGTTTCCAGAATATGTGATTATCATTACACTATCCAAAGAACGTGATATATTAAGGTGTATTTTGTAAAAAAGAATGTGATTTCATGTGATTTATAATGTTTGGGTAATCATTTATGTAATAATAATGATAATAATCACGACAGGTTGACTAATGCTTCATATTAAAGTATGAGAGTTTTACCCCATTGACTCTATGTTTCAAAGTCAAATGAATTTCTTTTATTGAGATAAATAATGACTGATTACTTATAAAAAGTTTATTTGTCACCTTTATGAAATTTTTAATAAATCGATTGACGTTAGACCACCATTAAAAACTTGGGGGGACTAGATGGCTGTTTTGTCCCATTATGGGATTCGGAGTTCCAGTGAGAAGCCATGATAATTAGAGCTAATCCATGTCGAGTAGAGACAGGTATCTACCTCATTACAATGGAAGATGGTTGAACAATTTCTTGGATTGGTTGAGGTTAGACATTAACACCGTTGAGCGCCGACTCACTGGTCTGAAGATTAAGCATTTGTGAGAGAGACGGAAGGTTCTGGGTTCGAATCCCGCGAGCGGGATTGTGGATGCGCACTTGTTGAGGAGTCCCATAATCGGACAAAATATTTGTCCAGTGCTTCCAGGTTTTCACTGGTGATCTATCTTCAATTGACTTATGATCTCAATTAGAAATTTAATATTCTCTACAACCCTATACTGAAAATTGTTATGTATGAAATTAAACAGATTATTTAGACGATTGCTTTACAGAAAAAGACTGGTTAATATGTATTACATAACTCAGGTCACTTGAACATGATGCTCTATACTTTTATGCCCGCTACTCTGCAACATAACATTTTTGATTGGATCACGTAGCAGTGAAAGCGGAGTTTCGAACTTGGAAAATCTACTCAGCTTTTTTGGCACTCAATAATTTCCCACCTTTATTTAAGTTTATAATTAAAACAATTTATAGATGTTACAAAACAAAGTTATCAGACAGCAAGATATTAATGCATGTGGTAATGAAACCTAATTCATTAGAGACAGAACACATTTTAATTGCTACTACTTATGTAGTATTGTAGTGAACAAGAACACGAATGAGGAAAACCGAATGTACTTGAACACAACCTTACAGAACATTTCACTAAAATCTGAGAACCATACAGTAAATCTTTAATTTATAAAATATCAATCAATTGTCTCAAAATTGACTGTTTCTTTTGCAAATATCAGTCCATCCTCTCAGATTTCATTGTTCATGCATTTTTATACTAATTGCTTTTCGTTTCCATTCTTTCCATTTAAATCTTCCAATGAGATACATTCGATGTCTGAACATCGTTATATACTACTTATATGGATATAATTAGCTTACACCACAGTATAAACATATAGTTTTATTTCTTTTGAAAATTTTAGAATAATAATTCTTCATAGATACTTACCAAACATGTCATTCTATATCCATTTTCTCATTATCTTCTATTAGTCTTTATCAGTTAAGTAAGATTTATTATTTATATTAGGAATTGTAACATCTGGAACGAATAGATTAGTATTGACTTGAACTATTAAATATGTTCACTTGATATTGATTTACTTGAATCTTCCCACTGATGTTTTAGGACTGAAATTGATCAGTCTCTTATTAGCATATGTGCATACTGTGCGTATGCCTCGATATTGCCTTAATTTATAAGTAATATAAGCAAAGATGGATAGTGGCTAGCAGTGGAATACAGGACGCGCTTTTCGTCCTGTTTGGGACTCGTCAGCTGGATGTACCTGCATCTCAGAGTTGATGTTCACTCTGGGACCCGAACTCAGCACCGTTCAAGTAAAACAATATCAAATGAATCAAACTTCACCCCGTTGCACAAGCAAGTGGCTATCAGGCCTCAGTAGCTAAGTGGATAACGCGATGGCGTTTGAAGAGAACGGTACTGAATTCGAGTCGCAGAGTGGACATCAACTCTGAGTTGCAGGAATATCCAGCTGACGAGTCCCGAGCAGGAAGAAACGCGCATCCTGGATTCGACTGCTAGCCGATATCCATCTTTGCTTATATTAAATATGTGTTCCATATTGTTTGCAATAAATCATCATTAAATGTAACATCTTGTCATTAAGATATTATATGACAAAGGGAATGATGATTTGCATAAATCAAACATAAGTTGTCTATTATCGAGTTTGTTAATGTTAACTAGATAAAATCAAGATATTGGAATAAATATTTTGTTCTGTTTAACCATTTGAATATGTTCACTTCATGAAAGAATTATTAACGTAACAATAATAATAATACATTCTGTTATTTACATCATAGGAAAGTCGTCGATAGAAAAACAGAAGGCAGTTTACAATTATAGTTGAGTATGAGACTATTGAGATTCAGCTCAAAGAACAAAACTCCAACAAAATCATCCATCTGAGTCACAATTCTTCTCCACGATCTCACTATTCAGATTTGATAAATCTACTAGAAATGAAATTCAGGATTTCCAGATTTTCTTTGTTGTGTTCAACATTCGCTAACGGTTTTTTGGATTTATTTGGGCCACTCGTTTGTCTTCAAATTATATTTTTCAAAAAACATATTCATTGCTTTTAAGATAAGTATATGCTATTGTCATATCAGCCATCAAACGGTTCTCAACTCTTTTACTTAGATGATTCTACATCTAATTGTTGAATTTCTCAAATTCATCTGTTTGTATTATTTCTAGTATTGACGATTACATTTACACTATGAAATGAATCTTATTAAAAACGGATAATACTATAAAAGCAATAGACAACACGGTTTTCAAAGTCCTAGGCTCACTAAGTTGTTACTTAATGATGTTTAAGACTTCAGTCAGTTTGCATTATAGCGTAATAAACATTCAGCATCATCCGAGCGTATTTGCATTTAACACGACCTGCTTGAATTCTGTCATTCCAGATTTCCTACAAGAATTTTATTTATCAACCTGGATATCATTCACTAATGAACACAATATTATTGCTTAATTGGT